AAGCGCAAGATCAGAAATGCCGAGTCATAGACTCATGGTGCAAAGAAACAGCAACTCAGGGCAAAACACGGCCTTGATCTGGCTCCAGAGAAGGAAAAGAAATGACCATGGGGAATTACTGGAATGGGGAGACAACTAGGGGAGAGGGGATAGGCCTCCAAGGAGTCAGCTAAGCAGGCCATGAGAGAGGGAAGGAGGGTAGTGAAGGAGATGAGAGGGAAGACAAGATGTGGAAGGAGGGAGGAACAGGGTAGAAAGGCTATAAGGAAGGAGAGAGAGGAGGGGGACAGGAAAGGCAGAAGGGAAGAGAGGGGAACTGGGCTAAGGAAGAACTGGGGAGAGGAGAAGCCACAGGGAGGCAGGACTGTAAAAACTGTAGCAGGAGGGCCCAACAGGTGGCACAGTGGTTAAGGCACTGGACTCCCACATGGCCAATTGCAGTTCTAGACCCAGACCTGGCGGCTTGCTTTCTCACCTTCTTTCTTTGTGTCTCTCTCTGATCAAACTGAATAATAATAAAAATTCTTAAAAAAAAAAAAATGAAGCAGAAGCACAATATACTAACAGGTGAACCTGGGCACAGAGCATACAAGATTTCTTTGACCCTTCCTTAGAATTTTTCCAAAAACTTGGAAGTCTTTTTGAAATGCTGAAAGAGGCGGGCTGGGTGGCACTGCTCAAGCCAAGCTGGCTCCACATGGAAGATTCCATTCCCGGTATCTGTACCCTGTACGCAGCAGAGCAAGTACCAGGTCCTTTCGCTCGCAAGAATGGAAGAAATCAAGCTGGTCCCTGTAGGAGGTGTCTCTCTCTCACTGCCATGAAAAAACTGAATTTTTAAAATGAGGTTAAAAGGGATCAGCAAGTGTTGGCAGCGTTAAGGCAGATGGATTCCACATGACTGACTCCACTTGCATTCCAGACCCAGCAGCTTGAAAAACACACCTGGCACATGTGCATGCAAGCCAAACATCGCAAGAGGAGAATAAAGAAGGGATTGCTATTTGGCCACCCCGGGTGGGGGGATGGTGACGGTGGTGGTGGTGGTGCTTTGTCATTCACCCCCATGTGCCCTATAATGTTAAAAAAAAATTCAATCCTGGTGACCATCACTCCTCTAGCAGGCCCCTCCTCATTGGGAGGTTCACCATCTTCAACCTCCCCATCCCCTGAGGTCAAGGCTCCACTCTTGCCCCTCTCCCACCAAAGGAGTCCCTGAAGCACGAGCACAATCCACACCAAACCCACCCAGGAGATGGGGCGCACCTCAAGGGAAGACAGAAACCATCTCTACCCATGTCGGGGGTAGGCAGTTCAGCCTGTCCATCCCCCTCGAGGGGCACCTCAGCCCTCCCTCCGCACCCGGCGGCATCGCAGCGCCCCCTCCCCGGCCTACAGCCAACGGCCTCTTCTCGCCCCCTTTCTCTCCCAGCCCAGACACCCACGAGGGGGCGCTCTGGCCGTCGCCGCCCAGAGCTCTCAGCCCTGCCCCTCCCAGTACCCCGGAAACCGGCTGGGGGCTGCTCATCGCGCACCTCCCGAGGTACCCCGACCCTCCTTTCCCCCAAACCGAGGGCTGCGTCCACACCTACCCTCCAACCCGCCCTCCGTGACCCAACCC